AGATTTGAAAATTTTTATGCAAATTATACTCCATTTTCAATTTTTTGTTTTTAATTTTGATGAGTACTGCAAAAATGATTTCTCAGTTCTTCACAGAGTTGTTCTGCATTACAAATTCATTTCTGTTTGTAACAGTTGACAAATTTTAGCAGTCCCTGATGTCATAAAACAGATGGAAGCAATAAAATCAATTGGCCTTCTGCTAGCACTGCTTACACTCTTCGGATTTTCGAATCTTTTGACTGAAAGTCAGAAGAATGAAAGAATGGGTATTCAAGAGAAAGCTAGAGGGGTCCCTTCTTCAGTTCTAAGACTTTCCGTTATAGCTGCAAAAGCTTATTGCCGTTTCTATGGGCCTGAACACACAGCTGCATCGCGGCTGAGATTCAGAGTGCGGTCTGTTTTCTGTGCGTGCTTAGTGAAATTGAATACTGTAGTTTTATTTCAGCCTAGATATACATCAAGCAGATTACAACAAAAAAGGTATGTACATCGAATTTTACTGTATATTTTTAACACATTAATCTGCAGAATCTGCATAAAAGTACTGGCTCATGGATGAGTTTGGGCATAACTCATACGTATGCTCTTTTTGTTGTTGTTCACCTAGGTATCATTTTAATTTTTCTACTAGGGCTTTACTCAAGTCTGTCTGGTAATTACTACATTTAAAAATAAATAATTAGGACTGTGCATTCGCTTCTACTAGCGGCGTGTGTGCGCTTCCCCTAGCGGAGTTTAAATGCCCGAATGGCCAAAACTGGGCACTTTGGCCACGATGACCTTACTCACCACTGGCACAAACGGGGCACTTCGGCACTTAAAGGTTAACAGAACAATTAACTGTGAAAAATGTGTACAGGTCATTCTGACAATTCTTTTGAGAGTTACAAAAGAAGAAAGACTCTATGACTGGTTTCAGCAAGACTCAGCTACTGCCCACATTTCACGTATATCTATGCAGGCTTTAACTGATAATTTCAGGGAGAGAAATATCAGTGCTGGTGTTTGGCAGGCACATTCACCCAACCTTTCTTCTGTGGTTCTTTGCAGGTAAAGTAAAAAAAAAAAGCTTTCCTTGTAGCAGGCTGTGATGGCCCATAGGGTTGTGAGACGTTGAGGGTCCCGCACTATCTAGACAATCGGCTGAAAGATGGCCGTAAGGTTGTCAGTCTTACGTGCCAGCCGCGCTTTACTCCGCAGGAAAATTATTTAATTAATTCCTGGTACTCATTTCTGTTAAGAGGCTGAGTAAACCCCAGGGTCTAGTGCGGCTGGAAGGGTTAGATCAACTGAAAAAATCCAATGACCTCACCGGGACTTGATTCCAAGACATTCTGGCTTGTGGCATAGCCCCTCAACCAACTACGCTACTGTGTGCCCCGGTTCTTTGCAGGGCAAAGTTTAACCTTTATCCTACGGCCCTTTAAACTTAGGTTGTGGCAACGGTACGGAGTTCTTTAAATGGCCGCTATTTGAGATTCGTGAAAATTGTAGTCACTTACTAATTTTGCTCCTATTTCTGCTATTTCTGTGATAATCGAACGAAATAAACGCTGTTTTTTTCTCGAAAGAATATAGAATCAGATATTGTAATTTACAGATTGTATAAAACATGTTAAAATTTTTGCACTGACACCAAAGGAGAATTTTCGCAATTTCTTGTTTCTGAGCAAGAATTCATACGTTCTGGACACCCCTGAATGGAAGTTGCTGATGACGACACTTGTGCATGTCACGGTAACACCGGATGTTGAGTCTAGAGACGTTATCGCAGTCTATGTGACGAGCTTCAACTTGAATGTGGTCAGTGGAAGAGAGATATAAACTCACGTGTTGTTTATAGATCTCTCCTGAACAATACGTATACTGTTCTTCTACAGTTCCATGCTAGCATTCTTTATGCATGCGTTGTCGTTGCCGTACTAACACAGCGTAATAGCTTAGTGGCTGGACGTGTTCAGTCGAGAGTAATTTCAAATTTCGTTCGTAACATGTGGTCCGTGTCGTTTGGGATATTCTGACATATTGCAGCTAATCAATGCCTCCGATACAGAATCCTGTACCGACAATTCTGAGAGTGACGTTGAAGGTAGCAAATCATAAAGTGATTTCGAAGAAGACCCATAATCTTCGTCGGCAACCTGGGGAGCACGACACCAGCGTGGCACGAGGAGTGTGAATAATTATTCAGATGGAGCTGTGGGCAAACTGTGGCAAACAGTTATAGCATCTGTCGTCGAACCTGGAAATGGACAAATAAGCTATTTCTCCATCTCCTTGGTCTGAACAGTTACATCCTGTTGTCACACAGAGAATTTCGTCTCGCTCTTGTGCGGAACATGCTGTTAGGGGTCCCCCTCGCCATCAACGGCCAGGGGTCGAACCCCTGCCGTTTTATGGGAGATATCTCGACTATAGAAGGCCAAACCACATCACTGGCCGACTTGCTATACTTCGCAATTGAGGTGTCGTGTGTGCTTTTCGCGTGGGACACGAAAGACCGCCCGGACAAAGTGCGTGAATTGCGAAATCGGACTCTGCATTTCCGGATTTTTTGAGAATTCCACACGAAGGCAACATTCCGGCAGATGATGCAGGCGGGAAGACAGACACTCCATGCAGATGGTGGCCAAAAATTATGTAAGTAGGACATAATTTTCTACTTTAAAATTTAATTTTATATAACGTTGCCACGCGCGGACTCTGCGACACCATATGTAGTCATTCGTGCCGGTGACTTTCTTTTAAAGACGACATACGTTGTCTTTAGTCGTTTAAAGGTTAAAACAGTAAACCCCACATGGAAGAACTAAAAACAATATTCATAGGGAAATTGCAACAATTCCGGCACAACAGCATTAAGGGTTAATCTGAACCCCTTCTGCTGCTGCAAGGAATGTCTGCATGTAGAGGGACAGCATTTTCAACAACTTCTGTGACCTATGAATTGTATACTTCATTCCAAACATTACTGGCCACAGCCATACTGATACACTGGCAAAATTTGTATGCACCTTGCAGGCAGCAGTGCATCAGTCGCTGTGAACTGGCCAAAAAAAGTAAGAACCTCCATCTATATGTAGATGTAGAAATTTTCTTTATGTTCATTAATAGCTTTATTTGGTGTTTAATTACATCCATGGTAGATTCCACATCACCACAACTGCGTCTATATTTTAGAATGTGTTGCCAATGCCACTTCTTCACTATTCCTTTCTACACACCTTTTACACATTCTCAGTACCTAATGTTTAGTCACCTTTCTGTCTAAGAGAAAACAACAAAAAAATCTGTCATGACAACCAATCTCCCCCGCCAGCAGGTACAGGGGAAACTCCAACTGTATCTTATATATTAAATTTACTTCAAACAAAGGGCAACTGGCAACACTTGTTTATAACCTGTCAAACATTATCACAAATCTTTTAGAGAATTTTTAATTATCCTGTTACAAATCCTCAACACAATGACACCTCTGTGTTATTACATGGATACAGACTGCATGGAAGACAGAAAACAAATGATAAACTTCAGCATTTATAGATCCTGGGAACCCTATGATGTAGTACCAAAGCACTGCTTAGTGGATTGGACAGACATGGAAAATGTGAAGGATTGTTCCTGCTATGGAAATTACCGCAAACATTCAGTTTACACAAGTTCTATATTAGATCTGTTTAACGAAAATGGGAGTCGTATATCACACGCAACATTCAAGGTACTACAGCCAGGAAAAAAAGATAAAACTTTCAAACTCTAGTCAACAGCACAGTGGAGTTGTTTCATGATCACAGACATGGATATCAGAAAGACAAGCGGCATTTCTGCACATCTGTGTCATCTGCCTAACAGTTCACATAGAGCTCACCTCAGGTTCAGCCTTTATTTCTGGAAATGTTATTGGGACAGGAACCTCTTCCTCTTCTGCATCTGAGACTGCCTCAGCTTTTACATTCTTGGCCTGATTTGCATCATGAGGTGTTGGGTATGACTCAGCATATGGACCCACTAAAGCAGTCTCCGAATTTGTACAGTTCTGTAAACCATCACATCCTTCTCAGAACTGGATGCACAATACCACATGTTAAACAGCGTATGCTCTCCTTGCTATGGCTGTTTCTCATCACATCTAACTCATAAGAGCTGTTTTGTACAGCTGTTCTTCTCTATAGCTATCATGATCACTAGAAAGTACTCGGTTCATAGCTCAGTGATCTTCCTGAGAAACTAACGGTCACTGTGCAGTACAGAAAATACCTGCTTTTTTGGTACCTGAAAACATCATAATGAAGAGCTCCACAACTTGTAACCTTCGTTCACCAAGTATAATTATATGATCAAGTCAAGGAAGATGAGATGGGCAGTTCATATAGCAGGCATGGGGGAGAAGAGGAATGCACATAGGATTTACTGATAAAGCCAGAAGGAAAGAGACCACTAGGAAGGCCTCGGCACAGATGGGAAGATAATAGTTAAATGGATCTTTAAGAGACCTACGATGGGTGGTGTGGACTGGATTCAAATGGCTCAGGATTGGGACTTGTGATGGGTTTTTGCTAACATGTCAATAAACTTTCAGGTTCTATACAATGCTGGGAAATTCTTCAGTGGTCAAGCAATTGATGGCTTCTCAAAGATTCACTCAGCTCCATGGAGTTAGTTATGGTACGTAAGGGCTCATTACTGTGCTCACACATGCTCATCATTGCTCTGCATCCTAAGGCAAACAGACCCAGTACAAACCCAAATTACTTTTAAATCCATCTTAATAGCATCTCCCCATCTGCAATTAGGTCTCCCAAGTGGTCTGCTTCTCTTAGGTTTTTCCCTCTAAAACTTTGTGTGCATTTCTCTCTGTTGCATGTGCACTTTTAAAATTGATTCTTTTTTAATTCGCTTAGTGGGGGGTGGAGTCCAACTGGGTCCACTTGGCATGGCGGCCACTCATCGGCCTATTGTAGCCTGCCCAGGGTGATTATGATGATGGAGAATTTGGTGGAATGAACAATGGCAGGGGAAACCGAAGTACTCGGAGAAAACCAACCTCAGCGCCACTTTATCCATCACAAATCACATTTGAGCAGACCAGGGATTGAGCCCAGGCCGCCACAGTGGGAAGCCAGTGACTAACCGATTGAGCTAAGGTGTAGGCACTTTCATGTGCGCTACATGACTTACCCACATCACTCTCCTTGAACTCATTGCCCTCCTACATAATATCCCAAACTGTTATCACCCAAGTGTAAGAAACTCCCTGTAAGGTATCCCTGTAACAGGCCGTGGAGGCCCATAGGGTTGAGTTATGTTGAGGTTCCCACATTTTCTAGACAATCGGCTCATAGATGGTGGCAAGGTTGACAGCCTTATGCGCCGGCTGCCCTTTACCCCCAAGAATATTCCAAGAACATCCCTGGTACTCATTTCTGTTAAGAGGCTGAGTCGACCCCAGGGCCACAGTGCGGCTGGAAGGATTGGGTCAACTGAAAAAATCCAATGATCTCATTGGGACTTGAACCCGAGACCTTCCAGCTAGTAGCAGAGTGCCTCAAGGTTCTAATAAGTGTACCAATAATCAATTGTGAACAGTTCTGTGACTACCCAAGAATTTTTGCTATAGAATTTCTCTCAAACGCTGTTCCATTTATGGAAAATATAATTTCATCTGCATTAAAACTGCTTAAAAGGAAAGAGAAGTGGTACATCACAAGCAGCATACATTCAACAAACTATAACTGTCTAGAGACACTTCAGGAAAAGGTCTTCAAAGGTGAGTCAGCAGCACAGTGAAGCTCTCCCATGTGCACAGACAGACAGATGGAGATGAGAAAGACAACTGCAATTCCTGCCAATCTGTGATATCTGCCTAACAGTGGACACACAGAAGCATGCAGCTCACCTTAGGTTCAGCCTTTATCTCCTGAACTGTTATCTGCACAGAATCCGCTTCCTCTTGTGCATCTGAGACTTCCTCAGCTTTTATATTCATGGCCTGGTTTGCATCATGACTTGCTGCGTACATCTCACCATGTGGACCCACTAAAACCTTCTCTGACTTTGTATAGTTCTGTAAAGGCATCAAATCTTCTATAGGTCATAGCTGCACAACACCCTACATGAAACAATATATGCTCTCCTTGCTGTAGCTGCTTTCATTACATCTAACCCATAACAGCTGCTCTGTACAGATTTCTTCTCTAGACTTCATAATCTTAGGAAGTGTTCAAGTTCATAATGCAGCGACCTTCCTGAGAAACCTGTGGACATACGGACAATACATATCTGCTCTTTATGAAACCTAAGGACTCATTACTGTTTTCACACATGCCCATCATGACTATGCATCCTGACCCAAACTCAGTCCAAAACCCCCATAATTGTACCTTAAAAAGATCCATCTTCACAATTGTCTCCCAAGTGGTCTCATTCTTTCAGGTCTCCTGTCAAAGTCTTTGTACGCACTTCTCATTCATACGTGTGCGCTAAATGACCTACCCATATCACTCTCCTTGAACTGATCCCTCTCCCACATAATAATGCAAAGTGTTATAATATGAAGAACCAAGTAAACTCCTCAGAACAACTACAAATATAAATCACGCCGTCCAATGTGACCTGTAAGTTTATTACTACATGAAAACTTAACACCCTTATATGTTTCAGTCTCTGGGGACCATCTTCAGAGGGCAAACATCACTACAAATAGGAAACCATCATCACATAAGTTGTTTAGACGTAACGTACGTACACTTATATGCTACAATGCATAGTACACAAAATAGAACATTTCACAAACACAGCAGTTTCCTGGGAATGTGAAGTTTTTAAAAAATTATTTAAAATTTCTTGATGCTAATTAAAAATTTGCATGTCAATAATTAAAATTCATAAACCATGCAGGCTCGTGTTCGTCCTCCCATCGTCCCTCTTGTATGGGGCAGATATTGTGCCACCTGTCTATCTTGATGTGGTGGTTCTTTATATCTTCCAGGGTTTGCTCGTGGCTGCTGTGAAAACAGCACAGCAGAGAATGCAGAATCTTTCATAACCTTGAAACTTTACTTTATCACATATCATGCTTTGTGGGTGGCAAATTAATCGATTTACAAGAATCCTAGTGATATAGCATCATATTTCTAACAATGGTACCAGTACCTAGCTCTAGATATTTGCCATGTCTGTAAGGAAACATACTAATTATTGTGAACAAACACACACTGACGTGGATTTCTTTGTTCTCACAGGAGAGACCGGAATAGATTATGAAGCTTGGTGTCTTATTATACTTTGTGTAATCTTAACAACTTGTTGCTGAGTTTCGAAGGCAGCTAGTTCACCCACTCTGAGTGAACCTCTTGCTTCCAAAACATGGTTAACTGGTTACCAGACTGCACGGAGTTACGTCCTAGAAACAGCAAACCTACTCTACAAATTTACATCTCTGAGCCGCAAGAATGCATTTGTATGACCTGCAACTTCAAACAGTTCACCATAGAGCATCAGTTCTCACGACTTCCTTTATAAATCGGATTTGTATGTGTAACTGGCGAGAAAGGGCATAAAAAAAGGAAAAAATGTGCACTCTACTAGTAGCATCACACTCAGAATAGGCGCTGCGAAGTATAGCAAAATCCCGAATAGAACGTGCAACAGCGGATAATATCACGAGCACCATAATTTCTCAAACTGAATTTCTATCGAACGATTCCCTAACGAATACCCACAACTTACACACTTCCATTAACAACGTAAAGTCTGGTACCTACGATGCAAGAATTTCTTGCAGTTTGTTGTGGGCACAACTCCTGACGCTCGTCACCTAATTTCACAGAACCGACGCGACGTACGCTACTCAAAGGACTCAGAGCGTCACCGAGTCACCGAGTGTCGCTGACGTCGCTGAGCCTGCGCCCAAAACGTACAACGGAAATTTAAGGTCCTCTGATTGGCTCACACTTATGCGATTCGATTAATTGCGATAGGTGTATTATGATCGATTCCAGTCATTTCCAGACTATGTAGTTTATGTAGTTGAATATAAATGGGTGTTCTGCATCTTCTGCATGTTTCCTTCTTCTCAATGGGTGTTTCGACCCCCGATGAGAGTGAGACTGATCGTGCTGGTGTACGTGTAGACTGATTTTGCGCAGCAGGTGGATCTGCCAACAAAGTGTTTGTCATCTGTCGCCTAGGCCGGATGGCTATTGCTTAGGACTTTTTTGGATTTACAATTATTTTCCCCACAATAAAAATTCATCTGTCGCCATTCTCACGAAAATTACAAATTCGGAACACATTTCTTTTTACTTCAATATTGGGTGTTAAGATTTGGCCGTGGGATTTTTTTTAATGTAGTGTCAATAACACCAACGATCCCTGGGAAGAAATCATTACGCTTTCTGTACTTAAAATGTTTCAGTATGGACCTATATATTGAGATGGGCGAGAATTTTTGAACGGATTCTGAGGCCTAAGAAGCGCAGTCGATATAACGACACAGGCAACTTCACCTCTTTTCTACAAAGATCATTGTCTTCTGGGATTCGCGTTGAATAATGTGGTAAACTACACAGCATCACTTTTTTATTCTAACCCTAAAGAAGAATGAATGAAAGAATGTGTAAGGACTGGGCTTTCTTGGCCCTTGCACTACGACCACAGTGATATATTGTGCCTCCCCTTCTGATTATCCCCTCAACAATCCTGCGCATCGACTGAAGCGTAGGATTATGTATGTGGGGACATCGAAATAGTCACTTGGTTCCATAAAATATTAACCCAAGTGATGCAATCTTAAATAAGGTAAGGCCTCACATTCGCACAGGATATGTGTGGCTGTTCGATTTTCTTCTTGACACCTCTCACAAGTTGGACTATTACTTATTCCCAGTTTGAAGAAGTGTCCGTTGAGGTGACAGTGTCTTGTAAGTAGTCCCACTAACCATCGTAAATGGTTCCTGTTTAACTTTAACAGTTCCTTCGCTCTTTTAGTAGAGGGTCCTCATATGAGTCCCTTTGCTTGCCTGAGATAGGGTTGCCAGGTTTTGTAAAATAAAAAAAATGGAGTGATGTCTCGTTGCTTGTTTATAATGACATTTTTCACAACTAATAGGCTATAAAATATACATGATCAACATACTACATAACTTGCAAAATGCTACTACACATCTGTATTACATAGGCCTACTACACATTTATAGAACAAAACAAATATTACGTAGCCTTATACAACAAAACAAATATTACATAGCCCTATGACATATTTATAGAATGCACAAAATATTACCTACCACACATTTGTAGAACACACAAATATTAAATACTACATATTTATAACATTCAAGGGCTGGTCGATCAGATTCTGTTAATTGTATTTCACTGAACTCTTAGCACTTTTTAATAACTGAACATCACCCTTTGAAAATTTATAAAATTCTGAACAGGACTTGCTTTCATAGTTCACTGTCACCTGGAGTTCTGCCTTGATTAAATCTGTTGAGCATCTGTTTCTTGTGTCACTCCACTTACTTTTCATGAATGAAAAGATTCGCTCCACAAAAGCATTTGAGCCAGGGATGCTAAACAAAAATCCTACCACTTTGGAAATATTTGGTACATCATGCTCAGTACTGAAGAAAAAATGTAAGCCAGTTTGCTACATAATCACTGTATCTGTTCACACTGTTGCAGAGGTAATCTCGATGGCTGCTGAACTCCTCTTACAGGTCATCAATGCAAACATTTTCACTTCACTGAAACACTTCTATGGCTTTTTCAAAATCTTTGAACTCAATCCCTNTTATACAACAAAACAAATATTACATAGCCCTATGACATATTTATAGAATGCACAAAATATTACCTACCACACATTTGTAGAACACACAAATATTAAATACTACATATTTATAACATTCAAGGGCTGGTCGATCAGATTCTGTTAATTGTATTTCACTGAACTCTTAGCACTTTTTAATAACTGAACATCACCCTTTGAAAATTTATAAAATTCTGAACAGGACTTGCTTTCATAGTTCACTGTCACCTGGAGTTCTGCCTTGATTAAATCTGTTGAGCATCTGTTTCTTGTGTCACTCCACTTACTTTTCATGAATGAAAAGATTCGCTCCACAAAAGCATTTGAGCCAGGGATGCTAAACAAAAATCCTACCACTTTGGAAATATTTGGTACATCATGCTCAGTACTGAAGAAAAAATGTAAGCCAGTTTGCTACATAATCACTGTATCTGTTCACACTGTTGCAGAGGTAATCTCGATGGCTGCTGAACTCCTCTTACAGGTCATCAATGCAAACATTTTCACTTCACTGAAACACTTCTATGGCTTTTTCAAAATCTTTGAACTCAATCCCTTCCTGTACAGAAAATGCTGCAAGGGATGCATAGGGATTGTCATCTGTCACATCATATCTTTTTTTGCAGATACTGAAGCATATTGCTATAAAAGCTGTTCAGGTCTTCAGTAACCTTTTTCAGTAATGGCATAGACAATCCATTAATGAGTTCTTTTGCTTTGCTACCAAAAAAGTTGTCTTTCCTTCTCTGCTGGATTTTAGAACTGAGAAGTTTCATTTGTTTGTAAGTCTCTAGTACACTTAAGTCAGACCTTTCCAGTGTTTTATCTACCATTTCCAGCTGACTTCCAATATTACTTAAGAAATTAAAGTAGATTTCAGGCAACACTGCTTCCTCTGGGTCATCTTTCATGAAAATGTTAGATAATAATGTTGGACAGTTGGGAATACTATTGAAGTAACTTTTCATTGCTTCCCAGTTCTGAAGCAGTCGAGAAATGGCTGGTGTTAATGACAGCCGCCTAGTTGGAACATGCCTCAAAATCTCAGTCCACTCCAAATTCATAAATTCAAAGAATGATTTTAACTCTTCTCTTATTTTGGCAGAGACAGAGAAGTGATTATATATCTTTAAGACTACACTTTCAACATCAACATCTAATCTGTCAATTGCAAACTTATTTGTGTTATGTATGACATGATTAGAGCAATTAGCTTTCAGTAAATTTGGGTTTTTACTTCGCAGCAACTGATATATGGAATGTGTTTTTCCATAGTTCACATTGGCATTGTCTGCACAATAAGAAGACACATAATTTACATCCAAGATGTGCTTTTCTAAGCTCTGCAGCACCAAACCAGTAATTGCCATAGACGTTTCCTCAGCACTTTCAACAAAATCTAGAAGATTATTCTGCACTCCCTTTAAAGGGTCGAAGTACTGGATGCAAACAGGGATCGTTTTTCGATTGCTTCTGTTTGATGCATAGGTAGCCAACGAAAAAAAAAATTTTGTATATTCTGGACATCTTAAAATAGACACAAAGTCATTTACACTTTTAGGAGCAAGAACGTACTTCACTATCATTTCTGCTTTAGTGCGTCCACATGAAAGTTTGGAAGCAATCGCGGAATCACTGAAAATATGGGACACAAGTTTATTTCCGCAGTCCAGACTGGAATAACTTGTGTTTCACTGCATGATACACTAAACCAAGTTTGCACATGGTGCTGTTGTCATATTCTTCTTTATTGTTTGAATTAACAGAGTGTTACGAAAGTTTATTTGGACTTCCAGAATTTCATCTTTCCTTAATTTTATGTCCCTTATATTGTGCAGTTGCCGCAGGTCACTTTGTCCACCGTACGAAATACTAAAATCCTTCCTACACAACGTACAAAATGCCCGGTTCTCGTCTGGTCCCAGCTTAACCCACAAAAACATATCTTCCCATTTCTTAAGATATATATCTGCATATACACTATATCTTATATATATATATAGATATCTTGCATATATATGGAATTTCAACTTCTTCCCTGGAGGAATCTTTGATGGACCTTCTTCGCCCTCATATATATTTGTTAACTTGACACTGACTTTCTAGCGAAGATTGAACGTATTAAAAATACACTATCCCCAACAACCTCTGCTTTGGTTTAGAACCTCAAGTGTTACAAACATTCACGAAATGCAACATAACGAAAGAAACTATAACAATGTCATTTTCCAAGCATTACAGAAATTTTATGACAATATTTAACACATGAAATATAATTCGTAATGGACTTAAACAAAAAAAAAAAACCGGAGAATTATCCACTCCGGGTAAACAATAAATGGAGGAACAAAATTTGGGTGAAAAAACGGAAGAATCCGGGAAAACGGGGTATCTGGGAACCCTAGGGCCTGAGTCCAGTTAGGGATCCCCAGTATTTCTTGTGATTCATATTTGTTCAGTCCCTGATTGCCTTTCTGGTGATTAGTATAGAGATGGCACGGGCTGGTTCACGTCCTATGAAAGGATGTTCAGCTCCAATCTTGGCCAGTTGGTCTGCTATTTCGTTTCCAGTAATACCCTCATGCCCCGGTACCTTGTTATGTTTGGCCAGTTCCATTAGAGTTCGGTGGCAATCCCAGACCAACTTTGAGTTTATCTGGTGTTTGTCAAGCTCTTTAAGTGCAGCTTGGCTGTCAGATAGAATGTAGATGTTGCTATTTCTGTAGTTCCTCTCTAGATTCTCCATAATACATGCCTTAATGGCATATACTTCTGCCTGGAATATTATCGTGTACTGCCCAAGGCTGAAACTAAGTTTCCGCCTCATGTCATAGCAGTACACACCAGCTCCAGTGCCCTTATTTATCTTGGAACCATCTGTATACCAGATCAGTCACCCTATTCTATCAGGCCAAAACCCATCTTCCCATTCACTCCTGTCAGGAAATCTGACTGAAGGGTTTTTCATATACATGTCTCAGTATCATTTTGTCAGACCCCATTTGTAATATGGGTTCTTTTTTCTTGTCCTGAGTTATGTATGCATGTCCGAAACT